GCAGGGCATCAGTTATGTAATTGTCCATAGCCCGGGTTTCCGCCGGAGAGAGGGAGAACAGGCGACCCCGAGGGGGGGTGGTGCCGGGCTGGAGCCTGATCTCCAGGTCGTAGGGTCGGTGAGGAGGTAACCTGGTAGTGGGTTCTTTAGCGAAGACCTGAGCGAGGTCGTGGTATTGAGGAGGGACGAGCGTCAGGTCTACGTCTTTGGGAGGAGCTGCTGCTGCCCGAGGTGCAGGGGAGTCCCGGTGGTTATGGCAACCCGTGCCCCAGGCCAGGACTTTACTGGTGGACCAGGAGATGTGAGGCTCATGGCGGCAGAACCAGGAATGACCTAGGATGAGAGGCGTAGCCGGAGCCTGGATGACCAGGAAGTGGAGGGTCTCCCGGTGTTGGTCAATAGTCATGTGGAGACCCTGAGTTCGGTGGGTGAGAGGGTACGGCATGATGGGCCGACCGTCCACAGAGGTCACGGGAATGGGTCGGTCGAGGGCGGTGAGGGGTATCTTGAGCCGAGTAACCAGTCCGTGGTCGATAAAACACTCCGCAGCCCCAGTGTCTAAAAGTGCCTCCAGTCTGGTCGGGCCTTGGTCCAGGTGGAGGGAGACCGGGAGAGTGGTTCGGTGTGGAGCCGGAAAAGTGGAGACTCCGGGCGGGACAGCTCCTACTCCGACCCGGAGGGACCTTTTCCCGGTCGTTTTGGGCACGTGCCACGGTGGTGACCCAAATCCCCACAATAAGCGCATCTTCCCTCCTGGTAGCGCCGTGCCCGTTCCTCAGGGGGAAGATGTCCCAGCTGCATCGGCTCCTCCGTCGGTTGGTGAGCCGGCCGGCGGGGTGACGTCCTGGTGTGTACGGGGGCTGACATGGTGCTCGGCCGGTTCAGGATGCAGCGGTCCAGTTGGAGAGCCAGATCCACTGCCAGGTCCAGGGAGGTTGGGGCCTCGTGTCCAATCATGCCCTCCCGGATTCTAGGTGACAGTCCCTCCAGGTAAACGGCCTTTAGGGCGGCGTCATCCCACCTCAACCGAGCTGCTGTCGTCCGGAAGCGAGAGGTGTACTGAGCCGCCGTCTGGGAGCCCTGGCGAAGCTGAAGCAGCCGCGTCTCGTCCGAGACCTCGCTGCTGGGGTGCACAAAAGTCTTTTTCATCTCCTTTACAAAAGTCTCATAGTCATTGCAGGCAGGAGATTTTTGATTGTAAAGAGCCGCCGCCCATTCACCGGCTCGACCTGTCAGCAGTGAGGTCAGCAGAGCGACACGAGAGCAGGATGTGGGGTAGCGTGCCGGCTGGCACTCGAAAGTCATGGCCAGGGTCGCCAACATGCCCTCCGGGGATCCCCTGGTTCCGTCCCACTTCTCTGGAAGGCTGAGGCGTGGTTCCATCCTGTCAGGAACAGCTGCGGTCTGACGTTGCAGAGCGGTGGTCAGCTGGAGTACTAGCTCGGTGAGTGACTCAATCTTTGTGGCTTGGCGATCAGCTATGGCACGGAGCTGGTTCATGTCTGCCGTCTGCTGATCCAAGATTGCGCGCTGTTGAGCCACTTCGGCACGCAAACGCGCGAACTCCGCTGGGTCAACTTGAGGCTCAGTCATCCTGTCAGGTTCGTTGGCAGATCTGAAGCGTGACTGAGAGTTCTGTTGCCCAGACGCGGAGAGACGGAGATAGCCGGCGTGGTTATCTCCTGTAGGTGTAGTTTGAGTGTTTTGAGGGCTGGTAAGCCTGGAGACTCGATACAAAGTCTGGTGAGAAACGATGACTGAGCAATGAATGAAACGCCGGCACTTCCTTAAGTAGTGCCGGCGTGATGACGTCAGTCGCCACGTTGGTGGCAGGAATGAATGGAATGCAGTCAGCTGGAGGAGTTCGTGACATTATGTGTCTTACCCACGTATGTCTGATCTTTGAATTGTGTGTGCTGAAACTGAATTTCATTTCTCTGTATGTCCTGCACATGTGGAGAATATGACAATAAATGACTTTGAATCTTTGAATCTTTTGAAATTATTACAACAGAAGTTCAAAGTAGTTAAATTAGTCATTCACATGATTCTAACATGCTGCAGCGTGTGTGTGTGTGTGTGTGTGTGTGTGTGTGTGTGTGTGTGTGTGTGTGTGTGTGTGTGTGTGTGTGTGTGTGTGTGTGTGTAACACATATAGGACTGCATGAGACAGCATGGTTTCATCAAATCCATGCATCTTATTTCTTGGCTGAAGTAATGGCTCAGGAAAATAACTTATAATTCATAAATAATGACGTCTCTGCAGTGGTTATGATAATATTTTATCTTATATTGTACCTGTCTTTGGCTGGGAGGTGTAACTTATCATGATACAAGCCTTTTAAAACATGTTAAAGTGTTACAAGAGGAGATAAATGCATGAATTTAAAGTTCATGTTTGGAGACCAACCTTCACAGTTTGGAGGCTCACGCTGGTGAGGAGACACCATTAGTTCTAGTAACACCTGGAAGGATTCCAGTTGGATGATTGGAGGATTATTTAGGAGGATTGGAATGAACAAACTGATTTCAGTGGTGAAGGGTTAAATGAGTGAGTGAACCCACTACCAAGGATGAACTCTGCTAACTTTAAAAATCAGCTGCTCTAAATAAGCATGAAGGTCAGAGAGGAGCTCTGGGATGGACATGTTGTGTGACGGGGTGAGTACTCCCTCTTCTCCACAACATCTTTGTAAGACTGTCATTCCAGGAGAGGGCACTCACCAGCTGTGGGGCATTACCGATCAGCGGCAGCTGCAGATCCTCTAATCAACCGCAGCAGAGCTCTATTTAAGAGGAGAGGGAACCACTTCACATCGCTGAATGATTAACTACTCACGGTAGAATCTTGCCACTCAGTACTAGGTTTTACTTGGTCTCTGCTCAGACATTTGTGCTGTCACAGTTTTTGGATTTATCTGGTTTTTTTGTGCTTGGATTTTTTGGTGTTTGGACTCAAGTCTGTTTCATCTTCAGGATACTTGGAATCGCTGAACCACAGATGGATGTACCTACCTGGAAGTCACCATAACCCGCCTGGATTACACACTCAAGGTTCACCTCTCCTCCAGCTTCACTTGCCCTCTGCCGCCATCATCTGGCTCCCTCTCCTGGACGTACCCTGTCACACCGTTTGCCCTCCCTGCTGGCTTTGGACTCTTGCGGACTACTTCACACTTGGATATCTCCAGGACACTTTTAGTTAGGGTTAATGAATCATTGTTTGAACTTTCTGCCTTTGTCCTGTGATGGTTCTTCATGTCGTGGGTTAAACACCTTCCCAGGAACATGACAGGACATGGATAAAGGAACTGTAATGTAGAGGTAAAGTAGGGCAGGGCCAACGTTAGCAGCTGTCATGCGGTCCATCTGAAATGTTTGACTTTCTTTTAGCTTGTTAGAGTTTTGTCATGAGAACATTGAGATAGCTCACATGCTGATGGCATCTAAAAATGAACTTTTTTTTTTCAAAATAAAGAATAATTTTAATCACCATTGAAACGTACAATACTAGAAAAACCTCGTCCAGTCAATGTGCACGTCCTGTTCTCACTGACTGGATAGAAATTCCTCCATCAAACTGTGTGGGCGCGCACACACACACGAGCGTGTTGTGAACTGGTGTTGTGATTTTGCTCTGATGTAGCCATCTTTACCCTGACAAAAATGTAACTAAGTAACTTTTACTATGAGTACATTTTATTTACGATACTTTTACTTGAGTAAAAATTTAGGCAAGTACTTTTACTTGTACTTGAGTAAAAAATTATCAAAGTATTGGTACTCGTAAAAGTAGGAAATTTTAGTACTCCTTCCACCTCTGGTTATTTGTCCACAGCAACGTCAGCAGACAGTCAAGTGTCCAGCAGCTCCTTCTGCTAGGAATATTGTGTTCTTCCATAACAGAACAGACTCCTGTTTACCTTCCCTAGCCTTGCAATAGAGTTCATCCAAAGCACTCAGCTCATGCTAAATAACCATCCTTTGGAGACTCAACCAGATTTTTCAGTGGAATCATTTTAACAGCTTAAAGAAACATCCTTTTAAATCAATCAATTATTACCTGCTCAATCCACCACCTACTCATCAGACATGAAACCGTCTGTCAGAAGCCACCTGGGAAGTATCTTTTCGACCAGTCGTGCGTGTTCTGAGGAGGCCCTACGACCTTCAGACACATCAGAAGTCCACTCACTCGCTCTGCAGAGACAGCTTCACTTGCAGAGAACTTCTACTGTCCTGGTGTGTAAGGTAGGCTATTCAATGGCGTCAGAGAGGCTGATATTAATTTACTAACTTGTTAAATTACATCAAACAGATTTATTTTATAAACCCAGACATCACACCTGTCTGAGCCCCTTAGTGAAGCTCTTACAAGGTCATGTTTCATCAGAGTTCCTTCATTGTCTCATTTAATATCACTTTGAATCACCATTTACAATAATTTGTCTTTCATCATCATTGATAATAGAAATATAGTAATAAATTGATTTTTATAAACTATATTATTACCTCTGTGTCAAATTATTAACGTGTTGTTTCCCTGGCATACCCAAAGTACCTGGTTTCATCATTAATCGAATATTAAAAGCTCAATAATATTGATAATCCAACTTTTTATGCACGATTACATTTTATTGAATACATTTATATTCTATGACAATTTATTAAAAGTAACCACTTACAAAAACGTTGCAGTATACTACATTGGGCAGGTGGAAATGATGTAAAATTATAGAATCTCTAATATAATAACATCTGTAATATTTAGATTCATCACATCCACTTAACTTTTGGAGATTTTAAATGTTTGCCTAAGAAATAAGCTTTCACATCACCCATGTCTCTCTCTCTTTCACACACACACACACACACACACACACACACACACACACAGTGGGCTATTTTAGGCTGAAAGACTTCTGACTCATAATTTGTTTCTTCTTTTTTTGTTGACTTCCGTAAAAGTCCTGCCAAGCGGAACGCTTAAAGCTCTAGTTTTCCTGTCGGAGGGCTAAAGCCGAGACACCAATGGTCGCCATTTTGGCTCCATGTGAGCTCCAGCACAGAGCTCCAGCGGACGTCGAGGCGCTGAAGGTGATCGTTTCCAGCAGCGATGGCTTCGCTACGGTCTGCTAGGAGGATGTTTTGTGCTGCGGCGCAAACGGGAGCTGTTTCCGTCCCAGCTGGCCGCTGGGAGAAACTAAAAACCAGTAAAGCGGGTGAGTTTCGTGGGGGGAAGCCAGCTTATGCCCGGATAATGAAGCAATTCACTTGAGATGAAATGGGTTAATTTATCGGCGCGGATGTGACGTATCTGCGCTTGAGGCTTACCTAGCTAGACATATTTAGTTTAGTGTGGTTTTTGTCTCTTTGTGGAACACTTTTCTCCATGATTATCATTTTTTATGCTTGTTTTTTAGGGGAAGAGGGTAAAATTAGACGTTTTGTGTGTATGATGTAGAGTTTTTCTAGTCAGAATGAGGGGAAGTTAAACTACCACTTCAAACAATTGGGTTCAGTTTACTGACCTGACCAGGTGCCTCAGACCTGACCCAGTGCCTCAGACCTGACCCGGTGCCTCAGACCTGACCAGACCCGGTGCCTCAGACCAGACCCGGTGCCTCAGACCTGACCCGGTGCCTCAGACCTGACCCAGTGCCTCAGACCTGACCCGGTGCCTCAGACCTGACCCAGTGCCTCAGACCTGACCCGGTGCCTCAGACCTGACCTGACCAGGCGCCTCAGACCTGACCCGGTGCCTCAGACCTGACCCAGTGCCTCAGACCTGACCCGGTGCCTCAGACCTGACCCAGTGCCTCAGACCTGACCCGGTGCCTCAGACCTGACCTGACCAGGCGCCTCAGACCGGTGTTCTGATAAAACGTCCTACTTTGACAAAACGTCCTACCCGTAGGATAATTTTACGGTGTCCTCTGATAAAACGTCCTACTGTACGTAATTTATGCACATTTCTGCTGCCAAACAATAATTCCAGCACAAATTTAAGTAGGTATGACAGTTTACCACTTAACTTTGCCAGAGTATGTTTGTAGCTGATTTTCATAAAGCCAGTACGGTTTCACACTTCTTTTTACCCATTAAAGTGTGCTTGTAGGTCATATTCACAAAGGTAGCATGCTTTGGCACGTAATTCTTATGCTTGTAGTTTATAATAACAAAGATAGCATGGTTTGGCACTTGTTTGTAGAAGCAGTCTGCATGCCAAGGTGCTTAAGTTATACAGCTGTCACCATTGAAGTGATTGGAACACCTGACTATATAAACTTTGACAATGAACTCACTCCATTATAGTTACAGTATATATTTACTGAATATATTTACAGATACATATATTTGACATTTATAGATCCAACAGAACACAGGGACAAAGAACTGAAAAAGAAATTTAATGTCAACTGTCATACCAAACCAGTAAAATCTGGAACACACTGCATTTAGCGTTTTGTGTGTGCCAGTGTGTCCTCCGATTGGAGATGAATGAAACTCATGAAAAATCTTCCTGGCATCATCCATGGTTTTTACTACTCTTCTGGTTCCAACAAAGAGTTCTTCATCTGCAGTAAAACAATATATATTTAGAATTTAATGTAACCACATATATGAGTTGTTAGGATTAACAATAAATTACTGACCCTTTTGTTTGAATTTTGAGGCATATCTTCTGAGGTTTTGCCTCTGAGCCTTGTCATATCCTGAAGGGTAGGAGCCCGCAGAAATGAATGTGTACATCTCTTCCCATTTCTTCTCCATATCTATGAATGTAAGTAGACATTTTCTTCTGAGCTTCAATATGTGCAGTTAACAATGCAAATAATTTAACTTATTAAATAGCGACATTACCGAAACAGCCTTAAAACACCGAAGCTGCGGATTCAGAAGTGTTGTCCAAATACCACATGTCCAGTAACCACAGCAGACTTAACCAAAGCTGCAAATTCGACAGTTTTGTGCAGAAAGCAGATAGCGACTTTACTTTAATATTGACAAACAATCACAAAGTCTTAAATAAATCAATAAAAAGTACTAATACTTAACTACTTACCTATTTTCCTGCAAATCTGACAACGGAGTAGCATGAAATCACAGCCGGATGCATTTTGCTTCCCTTTTTGTGTTGTGCGCATGCGCGCACATGCGCAGGAACGACGGGTAGGACGGTTTACGGGGTAGGAGGAATTCCCGGAACACCGGCCCAGTTCCTCAGACCTGACCAGGTGCCTCAGACCTGACCTGACCAGGTGCCTCAGACCTGACCAGGCGCCTCAGACCTGACCAGGTGCCTCAGACCTGACCCGGTGCCTCAGACCTGACCCGACCAGGCGCCTCAGACCTGACCCGACCAGGCGCCTCAGACCTGACCCGACCAGGCGCCTCAGACCGGCCCAGTTCCTCAGACCTGACCAGGTGCCTCAGACCTGACCTGACCAGGTGCCTCAGACCTGACCAGGCGCCTCAGACCTGACCCGGTGCCTCAGACCTGACCTGACCAGGTGCCTCAGACCTGACCCGGTGCCTCAGACCTGACCTGACCAGGTGCCTCAGACCTGACCTGACCAGGTGCCTCAGACCTGACCCGGTGCCTCAGACCTGACCAGGTGCCTCAGACCTGACCCGGTGCCTCAGACCTGACCAGGTGCCTCAGACCTGACCCGGTGCCTCAGACCTGACCTGACCAGGTGCCTCAGACCTGACCAGGCGCCTCAGACCTGACCAGGCGCCTCAGACCTGACCCGGTGCCTCAGACCTGACCAGGTGCCTCAGACCTGACCCGGTGCCTTAGACCTGACCCGACCAGGCGCCTCAGACCTGACCTGACCAGGCACCTCAGACCGGCCCAGTTCCTCAGACCTGACCCGGTGCCTCAGACCTGACCCGACCAGGCGCCTCAGACCTGACCTGACCAGGCACCTCAGACCTGACCAGGTGCCTCAGACCTGACCTGACCAGGCGCCTCAGACCTGACCAGTTCCTCAGACCTGACCAGGTGCCTCAGACCTGACCTGACCAGTTGCCTCAGACCTGACCAGGCGCCTCAGACCTGACCAGGCGCCTCAGACCTGACCCGGTGCCTCAGACCTGACCAGGTGCCTCAGACCTGACCCGGTGCCTCAGACCTGACCCGACCAGGCGCCTCAGACCTGACCTGACCAGGCACCTCAGACCGGCCCAGTTCCTCAGACCTGACCAGGTGCCTCAGACCTGACCCGGTGCCTCAGACCTGACCCGACCAGGCGCCTCAGACCTGACCTGACCAGGCACCTCAGACCTGACCAGGTGCCTCAGACCTGACCTGACCAGGCACCTCAGACCTGACCAGGTGCCTCAGACCTGACCCGACCAGGCGCCTCAGACCTGACCTGACCAGGCACCTCAGACCGGCCCAGTTCCTCAGACCTGACCAGGCGCCTCAGACCTGACCCGGTGCCTCAGACCTGACCAGGTGCCTCAGACCTGACCTGACCCGGTGCCTCAGACCTGACCTGACCCGGTGCCTCAGACCTGACCTGACCCGGTGCCTCAGACCTCACCTGACCCGGTGCCTCAGACCTGACCTGACCAGGTGCCTCAGATCTGACCCGGTGCCTCAGACCTGACCAGGCGCCTCAGACCTGACCAGGCGCCTCAGACCTGACCCGACCAGGCGCCTCAGACCTGACCCGACCAGGCGCCTCAGACCTGACCAGGTGCCTCGGCGACTAGCGTCCTGTCTGCTGCTTCTACATAAACTGAGCTGCAGCCAGTAGGAGATGAGCTGTGTTTTTTCTGCTCTGAGAGTTAAAGAAAGCAGACGTGTTGTTTAAGCAGCTCATTTCTGTTCTCCCCTGCTGCAGGTGTGTGGTGTCGCAGCTTGCTCTCGGACTATAGAGAAGCTTGCAGGGAGGTGGTTGTAGGTGCCTGGGAACGGCCACTAAAGACCTCGGCGTACATGACTCTGCTAGGAGGGGCTTGGGCATGTTTCCACACCAAACCAGACCGGTCGTCGTTCGAGTCCACCCTGCTGGATTGCTCAAACCAGTTGTGCCTTTTGTCACCATGGATACGCAGCAGCACTTCTGACGGCCATGTCCAGAGTCTGATGAAGCTTCGCAACGAGGGCCGCCTCAGATACGCCAGCCTGGGACTTGTGTGTGTGGTTTATCATGCCGACTACGACCCCGACAACATGCTGTATGAAGCCCAGTGCTCCACCCTTTCCACACCCTGGAGGGAGCTTCCTCATCGGGTTCTGGACATTGGGTTCACTGGTCGCTGGTGGATCCTGGGATCAAAGATGAAGGATTATGATATCAACAAGGAAGAGTTTAAGCACTTGCCAGCACATATGCAGGAAACCTCTCCACCCAGCACTGAGGAGGTGGAGCGGAATGAGAGGTTACACAAAGAGTCCTGGTTAGCCCTGACGGTGGAGGAGGCCGTGGACAGTGAGGAGAGTCACGTAAAGACTTAAACCCCCGCCAAGAACCTGGTTCTCAATCAGACTCTTCTCCAGGGCTGGAACCGCCTCGGGCATGACCTTTGACCTTTGGGGAACTTTTATGGAAAATAAAATGAGGTGTCTGACACTCGTATTTACTCCTACCAAGTGTTTTGTGTGTCTTGTACCGTGTGTCCCGACAGATACCCGAGGGTCAGACCATGAGGGGCTCTCAGCGTGCCAGCATGTTACACGTGTGTTGGCGGCTTTCAGGGTTAAAGGTGGCATCGAAACTTGCTGCCTCTCTGTGGTGTTGTCCTGCAGGTGAAGGTATGCTCCTGGTTCTGTTGCAGGTTCCCCGTCTATTGTCACCCCTCACACTGAACGGCTCCGGTTTGGCTGCCGGTTCCTGTTAGGAAATGTTCTTTTGTAGCTGAATAGGAATGTTGGCGTTGACCTGGACTGGTTTGTGAAATATTTTAGATGATTTCGGCTGTCAACTACATTTGTATGAATGACTTGGGTCGACGGTGGAGGAGGAGTTGGGTGTCTGCCCCACATCTGGAGGGTTTGCACCCCGCTCAGTCTCACAGTCCATCTGTCCTTGGGCAACACACTGGACTGCTGGTGGTAATCGGAGGGACCGGTGCCCCCAAGTGTGTTGTGACTCATCGCCGCCAGCGTATGAATATGTGCACGAAGGGGGTGTGGCATGTGTTGTAAAGCACCTTGGGGGGGTTCTGGAATGCTAGAAGACCAGCTTTTTACCAATGAACTAGAGCAGCTTCCAGATATGAGGGATGTGGATGTAGGGAGGAGTCTTGATCCATCAAGCTGTAGAATAAACTCCCAACTCTTCGTTTGGTGTGATCTTCGTCTGCACAGGTGGAAGCTCGGAGAAATAAATTCTCATTTCAGGAGGGAAGAATCTGGAAGCCATTCACAGGGTGTGACTTTTCCCACATGACATCACTGCCTTTTTGCAGCTTTCTACACACAGCACCCCGCAATGACGGCAGAGATTTTTGCTAATTTATTTAAAAACAAAACAACTTTCAGCCTTTATTCAATTAATAGTTGATGCAGCTTTGGCAGCAGTTAGCCTCGAGTCTGAATACCACAAGCTTGAGCGAGTGAATGGATTTACTTCCATTTGCATGATAACAGTTGGAGCTTGTGCCATCCCATCGCCTCATACAAACACTTTAACAAGGTCAAACGAAGATAAACCATAAAAAACAGACCAATACAAATAAACAAAACCTATTAGAACAAAATGCTAAAAGTCAAAGATGGGTCGAATAAAAAGGTATAAACACAAGAATCGCGTCAACAACAGCTCAGCCGTTGTTAACATAATATTGTGTTTGTGACATGGCAGACGGTAATAAGTATAAACATAGTATTTACAACCAAACATTACACTCAGTATGGACATGTACCCAGTAAAGCAGTGTGTGATTAGTTAGTCGTGTCAGCAGTCCTGCGGCTCTGCCCAACTTCTGTTTCAGGGAGTTCATCCTTTATCTGTTGTTTTTTTTATAAGCGATTGATATTCAGACTGTGTGTGTGTGTGTGTGTGTGTGTGTGTGTGTGTGTGTGTGTGTGTGTGTGTGTGTGTGTGTGTGTGTGTGTGTGTGTGTGTGTGTGTGTGTGTGTGTGTGTGTGCGTGCGCGTGCAACCATCAGATTATGTGACCAAGAGAGAAATAAGAAATGGGTCTGACGTCTGAATAGTTCTTTTTAAGGGAACTCAGTTGAACCACTTTTGCTAATTCTGCACCTTTAAGTCTTCACTTGACGATGGAACCAGTTGTACTCCCTCCACCAGTAACGTGGAACAGGAAACACACTTCGTATGTGCTGTAGAGAACTCCAGCTTTTAGACTCATGCACCTGTTCCGTTTAGCTGTAGGTTTGCACCAACTCATGTCGCCTGGGCTCATGTGGGACATCTCTGAGAGAGAGCATGCAGTCGAACATCCGATGGAGTCGTAAACACCCAAAAGATAAAAGGTTTAATCCCAGAAGTGACAGGAGCAGACCCGCTGCTCCTCCACACCGAGAGGAGCCAGTTGAGGTGGCTCAGGCTTCTGATTAGGATGCCTCCCCGGTGAGGTTTTCCAGGCACGGTCAACTTGGAGGAGACCTAAAGGAAGACTCAGGACACGCTGGAGGGACTATGTCTCTCAGCTGGGCAGGGAACGCCTGGGGTTCCGCCGGAAGAGCTGGCCCAAGTAGCTGGGGAGAGGGAAGTCTGGGTGTCTCGGCGTAGGCTGCTGCCCCCGTGACCCGACTCTGGATAAGTGAATCCTGAATTGTGGAGCTCCTATCTGCAGAGTTGGAGGAGGATGTTTGGCTGGTGCCTCGTAGCTCGTAGGGCTGAGTGGCGTTCCAGCCGGTGCATTGATGACGTAAGTAATCATTCTCCCTCCTCTTGGTCAAACATTTTCCCTGTTTTAAACAGAATCTGTCCTCGGATCCTGACACCACTTGACAGCTGAAGTCGTGACTCAAGTAAAATTAACGATGACCGCATAGCCCCGCTCCCTTGTCACGGTGCAGGTGGGCAGGCCTAACGCTGAAAACGAGGCTCAAATTCACCATCTCCTTAGCTGTACCGCGAGTATCTATGGTGCAATGAAGCGGGGGTGCACACATTTCCCGTCATGTTGTTCTTTACGAATGACAACATGTTCGTAGAAGACGAAACGTGCAATGTTCAGAACAAGCAAGCTGGAGAGGAGGGTTCGCTGGCTGGTCGAACCTCGGATTTAGAATGAACTATGTGGTGTTTGTGCTGGCCACCCTACACCCTTCTTAGGGTGCTAGAGGGTGTGGGAGTTTGCCTATTCAGTAGACTTGGAGAAGGCGTTCGACCGTGTCCCTCAGGAGTCACCCTGATACGGGCTTAGGTCCAGGTACGACAGGTGCCAGAGCTTGGTCCACACTTCCATCATCAGCAGTCCCTAGGTAGGTCACATCAGGGGCGCCTCTAGAAAATTTTGATTGGGGTGGCCAGATTGGGGTGGTACACCAAATTGGTCCTTGAGGTAACTCTGGTTGAATTTGTTCTGGCGATGCGCTGCATTGCGTCTTTATTCGTTTTTATTAAAATAACAGTACGTATCTAAAACATGTAACTTAAATTTAACAGACAAACATTTTAGAAAAATACATTTCAGTTATTTAAAATGTTATCCCAAATTTAGTTCAAAAAGGTATTTTTTAGGTAAATTCACCTGCTGCTGTGTTCACACACAAAAAACCCGATGGAGATAAAAACTTTTTTAAAATGGTGAGCAGCAGAAACATGTATTTTTTATTCTGATTGTTTCTTTACTCATTCATTGTAATATTTGATTTTGTGTTACGATTATGTCTTGAATAAACAAGATCAATACATGGTTTGACTGAACATTGATATGATTTGTTAACACTGGCTTTTCCTGGGGGGGGGGGGGGGGGGGGGGGGCAGCACTTTTCAAGGGGTGGCCATGGCCACCCCTTGGGGGCGCCCTTGGGTCACACAGAAACCTTATGAGACAGAGTAGGACAGTAACTACAAAAGGACACACATTACATTTAATACACTAGCAACAGGTCAAAGGTTAGTTCCAACCATAAAGTGGTTGTGCTGAGTCAAAACGTTCCAGATAAGAGATGAGATTGTTTTTTTTTAATGAACAACCTTTTTATACAGAGGCTCTATGATTTTTATTGTCAACAAACAGACATGGTCATCATAACCGCCCCGAGGATTTGGGCCATAAGACTTATCCTGTGAAGGTCTCTAAAACAGGAAAGAGCGCCGTTAGGTGAGGAAGTGACCTCTGTGGCTTCGGCTCACAAGCTGATGACAAACAGACAGAAGGCACAATGTGCAGCTGTGAGGAGGAGAGAGGAGTCTGGGTCTAGTGGGCGTGGTGGGTGGGGTATAAAGTCAGTCAGTGTTTGAGTGTGAACATGTTTGAAGGCAGCAGAGCAAGGGAGGGAGGAAGAAGGGAGGAGACAGCGAAGGGAGGCCAGAGCGAGAGGAGTGGAGGAGGGGTGTCTGGTAGACGGAGAGAGAGAGACGAGAGAGGAGAGAAAGACAGGGGAGGGGGGGGGGGGGGGGGAGACAAGCCAAGTGTGCACAATATTCATTCAGACTGACAGAGGGTGTGTGTGTGTGTATGCGCGTGCGCCCTGGTTTGCACTTCCTATTGCTCCTCACTCTCTCTCCAGTCAGCCTGCAGTTTCAAGCAGCAGGAAGAAGACACCCGAGAGGAAGAAAGTAAAGGAAAGAGTATTTAGGCGACAGACAAAGGAGGCGAGGGAGAACGACAGGGAGCAGAGGAGTAACACGGCTCAGGGGGAAAGGGGAGAGGTGAGAAGCACAAATCCAAAGAGAACAAGGATGAAGACTGCTGCTCGGTCACCAGAACGATGAAGGTAAGTGAGTTTGCTTGTGGAATGTTAGAAGTGTTCCAGGCTGCTGGACGTGCACGGGGCTCGGTTCTGATCCCACAGCAGCCCTGGTCTCCACTCCTCTGGAACTCTGTGGGAGAGGCAGCTCGGAGGCAGACACCAATGTGATGTGACGGTGTGTGTGTGTGTGTGTGTGTGTGCGTGTGTGTGTGCATGATGCAACGCTGAGGAGGAACGCCCAGGAAGGCTGAGAAGGAGCACAGAGTTGAGGAGTAAAGGAAAACAAGGCTGCATACTAACACACCTTCACACACAAGACTTTCATTCATCATTTCTACTGGAATCAGCAGCAAACGTGCATGTGTGCCAGAGGAAAGTGCATCTAAGTGTGTATTTGGCTTTGATGGCGCGCATGTGTGCGTGCATGTGCAGACCTGCATGTGAGGCTGCCACAATGCAAGTGAATGACAATTAGATTAGATTATTGATCCTGTCTGGGCTAGGTATCAGGAACCAGCCTCAGTCACACACACACACACACACACACACACACACACACACACACACACACACACACACACACACACACACACACACACACGCACGCCGGTGAACCCATCCGAGGTCACTCTCTCACTCAGGCTCACATGCACTGAGTCGCGGGAGCAGCGCCTGTGAACTCGTTCACCCACGAGGTCATGGGTTCAAGTCCCAGGTGGGGGAAGGGGAGTGAGTGGGAGAGTGGTGGAAGGAGGAAGGGAGAGAGGGAAAGAGGGTGGGGAGGACTGCCACTTGCTCACTCAGCCACTCGCCTCCCCCCTCCCCTGCTCTGGCTCTCTACCATCCCCCACCTCTTTCTTCACTAGTGTCTATCCTCTTCTACACACGTGTTCACAAACATGGATGTGCACGGCTGTGCATGTTTATTCCCATGTGTGGCCTGTCGTGCATCACCAAGAGTGTGAGTGAGTTGCCGTCAGGCAGCTACACACACACTGCTGCAGGGTGATGCTGTTAGATCTGGTCCCAACCGCAGGAATATTTTCACATTTCCTTTATGCCCTTGAGCAAAGTACACAACCACCTGTGTTCATCACTTAAGCAGTTCAGTCAAATTCAGTTCATTAATTTATTTAAATGAATTTCATCCACAGAGCAGAAGCTTCGGCCTCCAGACTGAGACCTGATGATCCTTCGGTTTCGGTCTTCTTCGTGTGTCTGGAGTTTCAGAATGAAAACCCAAAAGTTATTCTCACACCATGGTGAGCAGACATGCTGCAAATGAGCTGAAACGCACACACACACACACACACACACACACACACACACACACACACACACACACACACACACACACACACACACACACACACACACACACACACACACACACATACACACACACACACACACACATCTAGTCTGACAAACACACACCCCTCTTTCATAGGAAACAAGAGCTGGTGACCTTTGACCTGTACCCTTCAGCCTGTCTGGAACATACCAAGCCTGGAATCGATCAACGCCCCCAACGCACGCACACACACACACACACACACACACACACACACACACACACACACACACACACACACACACACACACACACACACACACCTAGCTTAAACAAACGGTGATTGGACCATCACGGCTGCACCGCTGATGTTTGGGTTTGTGGATCAGCGGCTTGAGCATTACCTCAGATGTGGTCATGTGACTTGGTGGTTTCTGTGTTTTGATTCCTGCTAACGGTTGTCTGAACTGAACGTGGTGCTGTACCTTTGAGCTGAGTTTCTACTGCCTGAGCAGCAGACCTGTGGCGTGTTAAAAGTGTCAGCTCTTATAAAACCCAACCCAGTCTGGGGCCTGTTCTCCTTACTGGGATGATAAAGGTAGAAAACTAAAACTACTCAGACCTGCTAGTGCTAGGATCATCTGTTTATACTTGCCTAATGAATGATCCCCTAGTTCACCCTAATCTGGACGGTTTTCTGTAAATACAACTACATAATAATCAGTTTTATGTCTGATGTACATCCAAAACTAGTATAACAGAAATAAAGACATTAAAGTGACAGTGTGTATTTCCCTGGTGATAGGGGGCAGTAGATACCTAAATCATTGTCAGCAAGCATTGTTTTTGTGTTCAAGTAAGACCTTACCAACGGATGGCCATTAGGGTCAAAAATCCCCGCAACCTCCAGCAAAATAACAAGAACATCAGACTCCCTTTCATCACTGGCAACGAGTAAAGGAACAACATTTATTAATGCTGAGAGTTTTGTAACCATTTGTTACAAATCAGTAAATGCATTCTGTCCTCATGGGCTTCCGTAGGGGGAAACATGACATCCAACATGGCGTCGCCCAGAGACTTAGACCCGCTCCGTGTATTTTAGAACTGATTTTTATGCTTATATGTTGTGAAAACGCCAATATTTTTCAACAACTGGGTATCTTTTAATTAATTTACAACAACATTTCAATGGATATTTTCCAGAGATTATTGGTGGAAACTACACATTGTCACTTTAAATAGCCCTCACCTCCTGTAGACCGTCCACCAGGGGGCAGCAGACATGTATAGGACTGGATATGTCAGGTTTCTGATGGAGGTACTAATCCTGAAAACCTGATGCTCCATCTGGAGGCTTTAAGGCCAGATGTGGTTCATAAAATTAGTCTAGGAGGAGTAAACACTCCATGAGCCTAGCTGAAAAGCTGTTAGGTACGTTTGTGACCTACAGCTGACTTCTGTTACAGTTACATTCAGTTACGGTTACACTGACCAGCTCAGTGGCCTAGTGGTAGAGTGTCCAGACTCAGAGATCGGGGTTCAAATCCTGGTCGGGTCAAACTGAAGACTTTATTAAAAATGGGACCCAACGCCTCCCTGCTTGGCACTCAGCTTTAAAGGGTTGGATTGGGGGGTTACACCATTAAATAGTGCCTGAGCTCAGCCGCGTCTGCAGCTCTCTACGGGGATGGGTCAAATGTGGAAGACAACTATGGGACTTTAATCTTTAATTCAAAACCTACTGAGTCTGTCTCCGTAAGGGCTGTCTTCATAACGTTACCTGACATTTTGCAAACAATTTGACTTGTTTTGCACCTGATTAGGACATTAGAAAATATCATTTTTAAAAATCTTTTTAATGTAAAAACAGGAATATAAAGACCTGAATAAAACAATCACAGATGTCCTCGTCTGTGTGAATGTCTGCTCCTGTTCTGTCTCTTATGGGGAGAAAAAAGTCTCAAAGATCTGTGTGTGTGTAACTAAAAGTTTGTGTGTGTAACTCTTGATTTGTAACTTATGTTTACATTTTTGTGTGTAACGTCAGCTCCTACATATACAAATCACTGAGTACACACACACACACACACACACACACACACACACACACACACACACACACACACACACACACACACACACACACACACACACACACACACACACACACACACAGAGCTGGATTAACGCAAAGGCAAAGTGAGCACATGTCTAGGGCCTGATTGGCTGGATGGGGCCCAGACAGAGGGACAAAATTAAAAATAAATAAATTCAAATAAAATGTACAAATGTCCTATGACATAATTAGTGGATAGGACTCCTATCTACAATTTGTTTCAATATTTATTAATGAACTAAAAATAGTGACAATGTTTATCTTAACCATAGACTGTTACATTAGCTACGTCACATTAACGCCAGCCCATGGCTGTAGCCTACAACTTGGGCGCCACCCAATTAAGGACGTCAGAGAAGCGGTCAGAGTTAGAGCGGGACACAACAAAGCTAGCAGGTGTTTTTGAGTAGGCTAACTTTCACAATGCTTTCGGGCGCGGCCAAAAAATGCAGCCTGCCTCGTGTAGTCCATTTATTTAATCCGACTCTGCACACACACACACACACACACACACACACACACACACACACACACACACACACACACACACACACACACACACACACACACACACACACACACACACACACACACACACACACACACACACACACACACACATACAAATCACCTGGTAAACACGGACAAAACTACATTACACACAGATCAGTTTACAAGTGCAAAAATCCTTTTGAGACTCTTTTCTCACCTGACTGATTTGTGCGCACATGGTGCGTTTGAATGCTCGGTGGAAGCTGGGAATTTTGAATTTCCTTTGGAATTAATCTAAATTTGTGTTGACAGGACAAATATGTTTTTCTGTGGAAAAATAGAGTATCTCAGTATCCTGTAGTTATAAAAGATAGACCTATATTTAATTTGTAATCATCTAAAATTGTTTATTTAGATAAATATGTGTTTATGAGCCATGAAAGCAGTCAAAGGTTTAAAAGAAATGGCTAATAAATGACAGAGTGATTCTCTGACTGGAAAAAGCAGGCTTCAAACCGGGAGAAAGCACAAGAAGATGGTGCAGCGTCCTGGAGATCTTTCCTCTGAAGTAAGTAAAAGTTAATCCAACATGCTTTGCAGCTATAATGAGACCGCTATTATTTTAGACCATTTCAGATGTTTCATAGGTCTGAAATATTGACACACTGTACCCAGACATGGGAGTGCCTCATGGGCCAGTTTATGTGTCTGTACAATAATATGTAAACTACCTAATGTTATTGTGCACACACATAAACTGGCCTGAGAAGCATTTCCTTGTCTGGTGCATGCTGGGAGTTGTGGTCCAACTTCTTCTGTGAATTTTTTGACCTTCATCATAGTTTATGATGCATTTAAAACCACACATTTTGACAGGCATGTCAATAGAGTTGTGCAGCAAAGTTTCTAAATTATTTAAAACCATTTTTATTAGATGGATTATTAAAGAGGCTGTAAGCTAACCGAGCTCAACCACAATGCTAAGCAGCATTTTTGCCCTTGATGTAATCTGAACAAATTCAAATGCCTGGCAATGCAACTAAATAATTCATTCATCTTATAGAACACAAACATATTCTTTATTCATACCTATGTTCACAACAGCTTGTAAGGGCTAACGTAGCTTAGCTCACACAGACGTTAGCGCCTGCTAACACAGAAATGGGGACAGTGTATCAATCTGTCGGCCCTATAAAACGTCTGAATTGGTCTAAAGTAAGAGCTGTCTCATTATAACCAGACTGCAAAGTGTGCAGACTTAACTTTTACTTCAGAGGTAAGATCACCATCAGGAGCCTAAGTCTCGTCCCTTTCCGGTCGGCTCATGAGTCCCCAGAAGAACGAAACAATGAAATCAAGTCAACGGGGCTAAAAGAGCTATTTTCTAATCCGCTTAGCCTTACGCCCTGTATCACACATATGTTGTACTGCAATTTAAATGAAAACTAATGATGGGTGTTTTGAACACGCCAGTCACGTACTTTGAGATTCATCAGCTAGGAAAAGTTCGTAATTAGCATGACTACACCAGCACGTCACATATGAATCGTCGCCACATAATCTCTTCTGGCGTAGCTGCTACTCACCACATGACCAGATTTATGGTGGTTCTTTTCTCCTGAAGGGAGGATTTGAAGTTCGCTGAACTTACAGCCATTTTCCTTCTGTTTTTCTCTGTTTCTGGTTCGATGACATCACTTTTATGAAGCGCATTTGTAGTCCTGGACTTATTTTCACACTAAACCTAAAATAGCGTTTCCCCCCATTTGAAAATACGCTAGTTCTTGGTATCAAAATGCTTCTTTAAAATTCACAGCTATCATATGTGAAATCCATGGCACCTAACAAGTGGAATTAGAAAAAAGCGCACAAATCATTCAGGTGAGAAAAGAGCCTCAAAAGTATTTTTGGACTTATGAACTGATCTGTGTGTAATGTAGTTTTGTCCGTGTGTACCAGGTGATTTCTGTGTGTGTAAGAACTGAAGTTACACACGAAAATGTAAACACAAGTTACAAATCAGGAGTTGCACACACAAATCTTTAGTTACACACACACACAAATCTAAATATACACACAGATCTTTTGCGTCTTTTTTCTCTCCATAGTCTCTGCAGATGAGTTAGCTAAACTAGTCCCAAAGTCTACAGAATGTATCTATTCTCCATGGAGGACTACAGCTTAGTGAGGGTTCAGAGACGGAGTTTGATGCAGATTATTTAACAGTTCTAGCTGGGTTAAAGGTCGGTTTATAAATCTGTTTGTCTTAAATATCTGCTTGTTTCTTTCCAAGGTCTCGGGGAAGTGGTGTCTATCTCCAGCTGTCTGTTTCCACGAGGTGAAGCTGCACCTGGACAGGTGACTAGTGCATCACAAGGACACATTGAAACAGATGACACACACACACACACACACACACACGCACGCACGCACGCACGCACGCTCGCACGCACACACACACACACACACACACACACACACACACACACACACACACACACACACACACACACACACACACACACACACACACACACACGCACGCATGCACACACACACACACACACAGACCAGTGGGGACTAATGCAGACCAGCAAAGAACAGTTAGAGACCAGCACAGATCAGTGGGGACCAGTAGAGACCAGGAGACACCAGTGAAAGCATCCAAACCAAGAGGAAAAGTCACTTTTTCATGAGTTATTTAAAGATAAAGAAGTGATAGCAATAAATGTAGATTATGGACCATGAACACCAAATCGACATCTAGTGTGTGGAGGTTGTAGATGCAACAATAGAACAAGGGTTTCCAGCCTTCAGGTTTGCTGTCAATAGGTAAAATATTGTATTTGGGTCCATCTGTTGTTGTGTTCACCTAAACTCACTCTGGCTTTAGCTCTTTTATGGTCGCTCCTCTTCTGAGAAGGATAACGACATCTTCTGGGCTCAGAAGCAGCTGCAGAGTCTGCCATTTTCCACAGGGCCAGCCCCGCTGTGTGCAGTGGACTGTTTGGCAAACCGCAATGGTGCCCTCTACTGGCTGGTAGATGGTAACATAAACCCAGTGTTGTGCCCATCAAAATAAAAATGTGATAATTTTTTTACTTAAAATCTGGCTGTCAGGGAAATACTGTAGCGTCACTCTGCTCACCTCAACACGCCTGGTGGTGGTTATTTTTAAAAAGTGTGTGTGTGTGTGTGTCTCATCTGTTTCGGTGTGTCCCTGTGATACTTTTTATTAAATAGTTCCATACTCAGCCTTTCATGAGTGTGATGAAGTGCATGTGAACGTTTGTGCAGCCGTGTTAATCTGGATGATTTTCCTGTATAAACGGTTGTTTGCTGTGATAAACGTTTTCAGTTAAATAATCATCCAGGAGACACACAGAAGTTTATAGGGTTTATAGAAAGTGTCAAATAATTGTTTGAACAAAATTAGACAAGTTAGGTTACCATATACAAGCCTAACCTGAAACCAGAATAAATCTGATTTAGTTCTCACTTCACATCTTCTTAAGGTTATACACATGACCACTCTATTTCAATGGTTCTTGATGCTCTTAGCTTGTGACCAGCAGAAGTTGTAGCTGCTGCGTCACTAACATTTTAATCATGACTAGAAACCAGATAACCAAGAACCTAATGGACACACAGCATGAGTCACGTGTGTTTAGATCAGGTATAATGAATGTGTTCCATCAGGAATGACATTTTCATCTGACTTGATGGTAGGAGCTGCTGCTGTATTTCCTGAGGTCAGATGATAGAATCAGACCTGCTGCCCTTCCTGAGCCCGTGCTGAGCTACTGTCTCTTCCACTGCAGATCCTGCTGGTCATGGCCGTCTGATCCTCGTAGCGCTGGGACATGACGGCTGGCTCTTTGAGTTGCTCGGATCTTGGGGAACATTCAACGCTGTCGGTGAGTTTGTAACTCAGCCAAAACCATCGAGTGTTGAGTGTACCCGGACATCTGAGTTCACATCACTACCGGAGAGCAGCTGGAGCCTGGACTTGAGGACGGTCAGCTCACAATGCTGGCTGCATTCCATTTAGCTGTAGCAGCTCTCTGGTCCATCATCATCATCATCACCTTCGTTTGTAACGTGCTTTCCATCAGCCAGAAGGTGAACCAAAGTGCTGTACATGCATAAAAGATTTTACAACATCACTGACACATGCAAGGGCCAACCAAATATCCAGAGACAAATAAAAGCAGCAATTAAAAAAAAAAAACTAAATAAAACTGGAAGAGCAAAATTATCTAAAAATAAGGCTAAGTCACGTGCAGAGGGAGCGCCACAGCATGACAGCGAGTCTTCATCCAACTCTTAAAAACCGGCAGTGAGGACGCTTGTCTGACCACGAGTGGAAGGAACGTCATTCCACAGCTTAAGCCTGATTCATGCTTCTGCGTCTGCGTCAGTGCGGGGACACGCAACGCCATTATCCGTCCTTGCGGGCCTGCTGGAGAGCTCCGCAAGGACGGACGGAGTCGAGCTCTCTTTTCTAAACATCCGCCAGTCGAGACGGACAACGCAAGCTTGTGATTGGTCAGGACGCCGCTGTTGTTCACAGCGCCGCCATTGCGCCCTCAAAAACATAAAGAGAGCCGAGGATAACTAGCGGCAGACACGGAGAAGCTTGAAGAAAACCTCGTGAAAAAACTCTCAAAATATGAACGTTTAATTCTCCCGTGACTGGAGGAGTGAAAAGATGTGCAGCAAGCGTTTTATTTGTGGACAGAAATGACAGGAAACGTGGGTTTAGAGGTGGCGAGCGCATGAAGAGGTGGAGGAGGATGAGAGACAAATATGTTCGTGTTAAAAGTCTCTTATATACACAAAAACACAATATAAACACACCATCTTGGACCGATACATGACAGGATACCACAGAACAGCGCTACGCCCTCTGCTGTCCTGCCGGGCAATTGCTGTGCAACACTCTCCAGGAGACGGAGAAGTATGAGAGCAAAACGCTTCCGTCAGTCCGTGCGTGTCTGTCCCTTTTGGAGCTGACGGAAAAGCATAAACCAGGCTTTAGGGGCCTGAACTGAGAGAGCCCCGCCTCCTCTAGTCAAGCATTGCAAGCGTGGTATGACTAGTAAGTCTTGCTGTGTTGACCTAAGTGCACGTGATGGGTTGTGTTGGGTGAGTAGCTCAGACAGGTCGCTCGGGGCACAGCCCTGCAGAGACTTTAAAACAACCTGACTGAAAGGAACTGGAAGCCAGTGCAGATGGCCGGGCCAAGACAGGCGTGATACCTTCCTGCTTTCTGGTGCCGGTCAGGAATCTAGCTGCAGCATTTTGTGCAAGCTGGAGCCGAGCAAAGGCAGCCTTGCTAACTCCTGAGTAAAGGGAGTAGCAGTGGTCTAGGCAGGAAGCAATAAAGGCATGGACTACGGTCTCCAGACACCCTCCAGGTGAGCCCACAGCGCTAGCGACTTGATCCTGGATAGGTGGCGAAGATGGAAACAGCAAGAACTCACCACTCATCAGTATGAGTCTCTAGCTTTAGTGATGCATCCCACTTCACACCCGATCAGTTCACTGATACTCATGAGCCTTTGTTAGTCATGTTAGTACTTTATACCACGTTAGTAATGCTACTGCTGTATGGGAATTAATAATATTAATTATTATTAAAATAATAATAAATCATTGGGACACTTAAAGGCCCTTTTATACTTTTTAGTTTTTAAAACAATCAGTCACTGAGTTTTTCATGCAGGCCGAACATGAAAATAGTCTCCTACACCTATCTGCTGCATCAGCTTCTGATAGAAAACAGGCGGTGAAACTCTAGGATTAGAAAAACCCGACAGATCTACGTCTGTGACAGATCATCTGCTGCTGTGGCCCCCAGACTCTGGACCCCTCTCCCCGTGAGCCTGAGATCAGTGGACTCAGTGGTCTCCTTTAAGAAGCAGCTGAAGACTCACCTTCCATTTTTGGTTCTTTTTCAAACACAGATAAGGTTTTTCTTTACCTTGCTGACGGTTTTGCCGCAAACGAAAGCGTCAGCAAGGTAAAGAAAAACCTTATCTGTGTTTGAAAAAGAACCAAAAATGGAATTTGAAGACAAACACAGCAAGAACGTACAAAAGATGTTTGAAGACTCACCTGTTCAGGCTTTGGTGTGACCTTCATCACCACCCTCTCCTCGTTCTGATCAAATCAAATTCACTTTATTTATCCAATTAGGAACTTCGATTGCAGATAGTGTCAGCATAGTCCATAAAAACAGCATCAAAACACACATACACACACCATCTATTTAAAAGAGTACTCACACCTACACGCACGTAATTAAAAGGAATTTAAAATGAAATAATAAAATAATAAAAGATTTCCAGTTCAATCTGGATTCACCGTTATGTGGTTACAGTCAGTTTTGCTGTGGCGTTCTGCTCTTTCTACATATTCCGCTTTTCTCTGAATCAACCGATTTCCCTCTTTCCTATTCATTTTCCTTCTCCCTTTCCTTACATTTTTAATCGCAATGAAATATTTTTGTCATTTTAAACCTATTTTTTAATCATTTTAAAAATATTTTTAAGATTAAAATATTTTGTTTTTTGGAGCGCCTCGTGATTTTTATCTTGAGAGTCGTTTCTTTCTTTCTTTTTCTTTCTTTCTTTCTTTCTTTCTTTCTTTCTTTCTTTCTTTCTTTCTTTCTTTCTTTCTTTCTTTCTTTCTTTCTTTCTTTCTTTCTTTCTTTCTTTCTTTCTATCACACTGTCACACTGTCACTTAACATTCATTGACTCACCCATCTTGAGTCACGAGGGGGAAGACTGTTGTTGGTTTATTGCCCAGGAAACAGCAGAGAACATCCCAGCTAGTAGAAGCTAACCATTAGCATTAGCAACCCACCACACAGCAGAACTCCTCCAGTTTTGTGTTATTTGTGGAGATAAACATCAACGTTGCAGAGCAAACAGAGTCAGTGGTGGAGTTGTGTTGCTGTTAACCAATCAGAGGAGAGATGTCAAAATACCGGGAAATAAGAGACCAGATCCTGCCGTCTGAAGCTACTTTCTCCTCCGGCTGAATTCTCCGTGCTAAAACAGGCACACTGGAGGTTTTTCCCCCCAGAGTATGACTTACAAGGCATTAATTCCTACGAGAGACAACCGTAAATGTAATAAATATTTGAGTGAACTTTTTGTTTTTAAATTAGACATTAAACAAAGGAAATGTTGAGCGGGTTTCTTCTGCTGCTGCCTTGGCCTCCAGTTTCCTGGTCTGCTCTGGAGCATCATGACATAATTTCAGATGAAACATCTGGGCTTCGGGTCAAATCTCAGTATTGTTTCATGGTGGTGCCAGTTTCACAGCTTCACTGTAACTTGAAGACTTCCACAACAGGTCAAGTGCCTTGCTTTCCCGCAGATGTCTTCTCACAGGGACCAAACCTCTGCATGGACACGTTCTGTCCCAGTGCAGGATTCTGGTTCACATTCATCGCTGTCGGTGGGTTGGTGATGGTGTCAGCTCGCCGGTCGGTGAATGTCAGCCGTGTCCGTGCATGGCTGCCTCTTCTGCATCTTGGATTTTCTTGATTTCAGCAGTTAGCATTTGCACAGGTAAGGCGCTTGAGCCATGATCAAGTGGTGTTGGACCCAAAGTACAGGTGAGGTGCAGGAGACAGACAGGTGACTCCAAAAGAATGAATAAAAACTAGTTTCGGTCCAGATTAAGGACATGAGATCTAGTGACCATTAATTCCAAAGATAAGTGTGATATGTGGATCACTGCCCCCCAAACCATCACCACTACTGTGATCTGTGTTAGCGGTGTAGTTTGGACATTCGACCACTAGAGAGAGCAAGTGTCCTACATATGATTGCCGGACTCTCAGCAGCAAGAGAAGCAGAAGCGCCATGTTACAGTGAGCTGGAGAAAACATAAACCTGCTGATTATCTGGACACACGTGGAGTGAGCCTGGCCTCTCTCGAGATATGAGTGAATGAATGAGTCTATGATGCGAACAACACAAGCAAAGTCTACAATTAGCTGTGTTGAAAGAGAATATTTAAATATAAAACACTGAAAAACAATTCTCAAAAGGCAAACTGCAAATCTTAATGAGACACTTGAGCCTGCTTCTTTGACATAATCTAACCCGGGTGAAAGACTCGTTCTCGTGGTAGCCTCCAGAGTGGCTCTTCATCTGTTTCTGGCTTTAGTCTCAGTGGCAATGGAGAGCCCTGACTCACACAGGCATGTCTGTGAATGGAAGGAGAGTCTTCAAAGCCCTCTGGGCAAGGCATGTTCTCTATTGAGACAAATCCAGGAGTCAGGTGCGGTGATCATAACCTGATAGCTTTATCAAGAAGTGCCTAAATGCCCAAAGCAGGAGGCAGGGTTGTCCTTCGTAGGTCTCTAACCCTAACAAGTAATCCTGATTTCTTCCTATCTAACATTAATATAAAATGGTCAGATGTTTGTGAGGAGCAAAATGTAAATGTTTCTCTTAACATTTTTATGGATAAACTAATGAAATTGGTTGATAACCATGCGCCTGTTAGAAAAAAGTCCATAAAAAGTAACAGTTAGGGATGAGCGAGTACATCTGTATCTGTACTCGGAGTGGGCATAACCCAGAAGTGGGTGTGGTTTACATCAATACATTATTTTAAATCTGAAATTGATATGGATTGATCAGAAGTTGATATGTGTATTGTTTATTTATAAACTATTTACAGAGCAGCCTCAGAACTGATATTAAATATTTTTGATCACAATAGTAAAGGAACTATTACAGAACAAGTTTTTCAATAAAATCAGAACATTAATATTTGAGTGCACGAATTAATGCATCTGAACTCATGCAGTAGGAACTAGGAAACATGAAATACTAGAACCAGACACAACTTTATATCTTTTTTTTTTCATTTTAATTTGATTAAACAGATTTTTTTCTTGACGTTCTTGGCATTTTTCCCACACACAGTTAAACAAAACAATGTTGATTAAGGTCTGTGAGAGAGAGAGAGAGAGAGAGAGAGAGAGAGAGAGAGAGAGAGAGAGAGAGAGAGAGAGAGAGAGGGAGAGAGAGAGAGAGAGAGAGAGAAAGAGAGAGAGGGAGAGGAGAGAGAGAGAGAGTTAAAAAATAAATAAAAAACCCGACTGGAGCGGAGGCAGTGACTGACGCAGCACGTCAGCTCTGTCTTGTCAAATGCATCACGTACGTTGGGACAAAAGTAACTTTAAACATTCAACTGAAAAAGAGGGGAGCTGAAGAAGCGTGAGCAACAGTGAAGCAAGCACAGAGAGATCCATTATTGTCTGTGTGTGTGTGTGTGTGGGGGGGGGGGGGGGGGGGGGGGGGGGGACTGAGCCAGAGTTTTGTGTGTAGGGGGAGGGGCGGGCGCGCTCTATGTACGTAAGAACTGCCAATCACAGAGCGTGAAGACAGTCAGTTACCCCAATGAGGATTTTCCTTCAGCAACATTACAGATATTTACGAGTTTTACTCGTTTCATGCTCGTATTCGTCAAAAATGCTTTATCCGTACCGGATGCTCGTCTGAAACGAGTCCGGCTCATCCCTAGTAACAGTGCACCCTGGTTGGATAGCGAGTTGAGATCTCTGATGCTTCTAAGGATAAAGCCAAGGCTATTGCTTAAAACTCAGGCTGTTCTGTAGACAGGAACACTTACTGTTCATTGGGAAATAAGTTCACAAAATTAAATCACAGTAATGAGAGAGATTCGTTCAAACAGAAAATCCATAACTCTAATAATGCTAGTAAAAAAAATTGTGGAAAATATTGAATGTAATAATGTGCAAAAAGGCTAAATCATCTCCAAAATTTGTGGAAAATGAGGGGTCCTTCATCACTAGACCCCACGATATTGCTAAATATTTTAATCTCAGTAAACTGCAAAATAGCTCAGAACCGAGCAGCCAGATTAGTTTTGGACTGTCCTCTTTGAACCGATGTGCACGAGACGGGATCCTCTGGAAAACAGTCATCAAAATTTTCAGCCAGTTGTGAGAGATGCTGAATGATCAAGTCATTGATCTCACACACACACACACACACACACACACACACACACACACACACACACACACACACACACACACACACACACACACACACACACACACACACACGCACGCACGCGCATGCACGCACGCGCACGCCTGCACGCACGCGCGCACACACACACACACACACCAAGTAGTGTGTCTATGGTTACATTGTGATTTATTAGTAAATATTCTATTTGGTGAGAGATAAACTTTATTGTGTTTATCCTAGTGAATCTATAATTAAACGGGTAAAGTAGTAGTAGCACATCCAACGTCAAGGAAAGCAAAAAGTTATTATCAGGAGAGGGAGAATGTTTAAGTGATTAGCAGCAGTGTGCGAGACGATGGCCCCCTCCATGAGGCCACCACAGCTCAGCAGAACATCATTGTAGCTTCTTCTGGGGAGAAAAACAGAGAGAAAATAAAGTTAACAGCTGAAATAGCAGAAAATAATACAGTTAAAGAGCAGATTGTAGAAGAAAGTAGTCGAGTGTGGAAAGTGGTCAGTGTATCCTCCAGCAGTCTAAGCCTATAGCAGCATAACTACAGAGTTAACTCTGGATAACCTAGCCTTTTAAATGGAGGCATGTTGGAGGCAGGGCAAGGGAGAGCCGTCTTTACCGACTGTACACTGCACCTCCCTCTACTCCCCCACTTGTCCAGATTCAGGCTAACATCAGATTTTAACCATAGGCCCTATCAAATAAAAATGTTTTAAGCCTAGTCTTAAAAGTAGACAAGGTGTCTGCCTCACGGCCTAAAGTTGGGAGCTGGTTCCACAAGAGAGGAGCCTGATAACTAAAAGATCTGCCTCCCATCCTATTTTAGATATTCTGGGAACCACCAGTAAACCTGCAGTCTGTGAGCGAAGTGCTCGGTTAGGAACATATGGAACAATCAGATTACTGATGTATGATGGAGCTTGATTATTAAGAGCTTTATATGTGAGAAGGAGGTTCTTAAAATCTATTCTGAATTTAACAGGTAGCCAATGTAGGGAAGCTAAGACAGGAGAGATATGATCTCTCTTTTTAATTCTCATCAGAACTCTAGCTGCAGCATTTTGGACAAGCTGAAGACTTTTAACTACATTCTGTGGACTTCCTGAGAGTAATGAATTACAGTAATCCAGTCTTGATGTAATAAATGCATGAACTAGTTTTTCAGCATCACTCCTGGAAAGTATGCTTCTAATCTTAGCAATATTCCGTAGGTGGAAGAAGGAAATCCTGCAGACCTGTTTAACTTGGGATTTGAATGACATGTCCTGGTCAAAGATAACACCAAGGTTCCTTACTTTGTTCTCAGAGATTAATGTAATGCCATTCAGGTCAGGTGACTGACTAAGCAGTTTCCTTTTCTGAAGATCTTGTCCAATATAATAAACAAAAACCAGTAGCAATGGAGCACTGATGACATCCGTGGACTCTTCAAGTCGTAAAGAGGAATACAGGCTGTTTAATATCCGCTTGAGAAGCTGGTTCTGTATGTCTGAGGCCATGTCCATGATGCGGCGACTCACAGTGTCATTAGAGAGCAGGGTGGTCAGCAGCTGCTTTGATCTTCTATGGCCACAGCAGCTGGTAAAATTACCTCCTCTGCAACAGTAAACACCTTTTTTGCTCTGTGTAACATGTCTAGCTACGAGGTAGTTGGCTTTTAAAGCACATTTTAGAATTTCCAGTCGGTGACATGATCGTCTTTTTTTGAATCTGCAGCCCATTTTCTTTTCATTTGATGAATTCGAGTGGTTTCCCCACGAGCGTCGGATGTTTGGTTTCAAAGTGTCATTTTAGTTTGGACTGCTTCAGTGCCTCATTCGACAGATTTAGTTCACACTGCACACACTGGTGTGACTATTTGTCAAACGAATAATTTGTAAGCTTTTAGGTTTCTAAAACAAGATGGCTTTCTGTCTTGACCGGGCCGGCCAGGAGAGGGAGCCAAAACACTGCTCAGTGAAATCAGCCCCAACCCGTTGTCAGCTGGTTCAAGGCTGACCAGCCACAAGGCACCAAAGAATTTGATTGTGTGTATAAAAATCAATCTGCGGTGTATCGCTAGCCTCACACGGGCTGCTCCATACATGTTGTGACTATTTGTCAAACGAATAATTTGTAGGCTTTTACTTACTTTTTGGATTCAATTTTTCCCCTGTTAAAAGGGGTGGTGCCCCGTGGATATTCTAACATCCAAATTAATTAATAAATCGGTAAATATTTCCATATTTACGAACTTTATTGAAGAATCCAAAAAGTAAGTAAAAGCTTACAAATTATTCGTTTGACAAATAGTCACAACACTGGGCTCTCTGTTTTTAGTGGTTGAAGGTTAAAATAATAGCTTATTGTCTTTGTGTGTTTACCTGTAATCTTGTTATTCATTTTTCTTCTTCCTTTTCTCTAAGTGTGTGTGCCGTAAGTCAATTTCCCCACTGTGGGATCAATAAAGTCTATTGTACCTTATTCTTTTGTATTTTATAGACTTCTGCAGTGTCACCAGATTTATCTCCATCCAGTGTTGCATTAATATTTCACCAAGATCTTGCATTCATGATGTTAGAGTCTGACCGCTGCACAAAGCCTTCTCCATCACATCTTAAAGGTTCTCAATGGGGTTAAGGTCTGGACTCTGTGGTGGCCGATCCATGTGTGAAAATGATG